ACCTCAACATAAAATAAAGAATAAAGAACCCTTTAAGGGGTAAATATATATACTGTATATTACATCACAAGTTAGATTTCCCAGAGGTGTTTTTATAACATTTCTGTAATCAGCAACAACACTGAAGTTGGTTTGAAAGTCAATGAACTATCAGATAACGAAAAAATTGCAAAAATTGCAAGTCTTCAGAGAAAATGACAGACTGTGGTGAATGACACTATTTACACTGTTAAATACGCTTATGCAACTAGTATTGCATTGTTAAAAATAAAAGTGTGTGACATAACATTCGTATGCTTACAATTACATCTGATTTGGCCACCCTGTAACTACTGCTACAAATTACATGGATGTCACCTGGATTAGAGTACCTGGATCCCCCCACCCCCGCCACCCTAAAAGTACAATAAATACTAAACTTACCCAAACCACTTTTATTTGTCATTCCCACTGTTTACAAAGTACACAGTCAAATCCAACAGAGCAAACCCAACACATTTTAGCTGGGTAGGCCAAATCAATGGCCAGTTTGATGAAAACAAACTGGGTTTTCCTGAAAGAGCGGCCATCGCCCCCTTCAAGTCAGTCTCTCATTCTCTACACCACTATTACAGGCTACTAGCAGAGTCGGCACCATGCAGAAAGGAGAGTTGTTCAGTTTCCTTCTTGATAAATACTAACTCTAAAGTCCAGAACAGGGTTTCTGATCAACACCATTGATAAAGGATTGGCCTTCGTTCAAATTCTACCACACTGACTGAAGCAGATAAAAAAAATAAAAAAAACAGCCATTCTGCCCTTTTTTAAATATCCACCGTGTCACATCCAAATCTAAATGAAGCCAGATGATAAAGGCAGGATTAAAATGTGAGGTTCAGTCACATACATGCCAAATAAGAGCGAAACACTTCCTTTTCACTTGTTTTCCCTTTAAATAGTAATAAAGTGTTGACTCAAATTTATTACTAAACACACACACACAATCACACACACACACACACACCTCTGGACCACACTTTTAATTCCTAACCCGGGCTTTAGATTAGCGCAAGAGTTAGGAAAGAACTAACAAGAACACAAAGAGTAGAGTGTTTACTCAAAACAGGTCTGACGTGGACCAGACCAGAATGAACTAGATCCTGCGCAGCGGGTGCCACATGGAGACAGGCTTCCTCAGGGTGGCCAACATCTGGTTCCAGTGGGTGATGCCCATCCCGCTGGCCTCTGGGCCAATGATCACATGACCGAGGTTCTCTCCCCGGCCGTCGTCTGTGGATTCAGCCACTGTCACCCTTAAGGAGAGTTCCTGCAAACATCACAGTGTGGTTACATAACCTGCCAACTAACCATGACACAGCAGTTTTTTTGTTTTTTTTTTACAGCCACAGTCTTTTTTTTTATTGCACTTAATAAAATCACTTTAATGGACATGGAATAAAAACATTTGCAAATTTTGCTGCTTTGGCTGTCTTAACATTGTTAAAATAAATTCCAATTTTACTCACAATTAAAGTCATTACTTTTTCGCACTATATATACATATGTAAACACACATATGACTGTAGAACCTGGATGCTGCTGCCAACTAGATTTATCTACATGTCGTTACATTGCGTTGTAAGACAGTTTTTATTATTAAATTCAATCTGACTTTTATCTCTGTTTATCTCTTCATCTTTTTTCTTGACCTCAATTGCTTTTGTGTACAGGCAGTCTGGACATTCACCTGCAGGACACTGGAGGGCACAGAGAAGATCATGGCTTCGTTGAAGATGGGGTTCGTGTCGTCCCTTTTGGTGGAGGTCTTCTTCTTGCTTATCTTCCTGCCGTCTTGCAGCAGATAAACTTTGACGAAAGGATCTGTTTGGCAGACGGACATGGACAGTGTGTGGTGTAAAATGATAAATCGTGTCCTGAGATGGAGTTTGTTTTCACACACAAAACAAACTCAAACAAGCAAATAAATCTATGACCCTGACCTGCTGTGTTCTTTCCATTGGTCCACACTAGATTCTTGCACTTGGCCACCACCACAGTGAGGCGCTCCGCTGTAGGTAAATAACTAAGAGACAGCAGAATCTCCCCGACTGCGTCCACAGCCTGTGAAGTCAAAGCAGGGCACAGTAAACATTGATGGGCTAATGGCTAACCTTTCCAATGTTACCTTCTTCTATTATACCAAACCTCTACTTAGTCCATATGTATATGGAGTAATAATAATATGTTTTAGCCATCAGTGTTTATCATTTTAATGTTTTTATATACTAAAGTAAATATAAAACTCAATTCATAAACATGTGCGGTGGATTTATTTATTTATTTATTTAAGTGCTCTACAAAATAAACACTAATTGAAATGCTATTTTTTGTTTTGGTAATTTACATACTACAAATGGAATGAAAACATGCATTCTTAACAACAGCAGTACCACATGACTCTGCTGGGTTGTCACCCCTTTACTGTAGTTCGTTTTGTCAAACCTGTAGTTTCACTATATGTCCGGCAGGGTGCGCCAGATACTACAAAACACAGTGACAAGTTTTAGATGCTGTTACCTAAATAAGTTGCACGAATTTTCCAATTGATTTTACCTTGTACATATTTATAATAATGGATTTAATTTCACCACATATAGAAATATATAAATAAAAACTAAAAGTTACTGCAGAAATAAATGAAAATAAATGTCTAAGGAGAACAGGAGGAGCTATAGGTTGCAAAATAACACAAAAGCTAAAGGATTTAATATATAAGTAAAAGTTAAATCACATACAACCTAAATTCATCCCAAATAGCTCATAGTTAGCATCTAAGTAGAGCTAGCTAATTATTATCTGATTTTAAATAAGGTAAAAAAAACCAAAACAGTAGGTGGCGACCAGAAAGGTAGAAGAAGAGACCATCATTCCAGACCTGCGATGTGTAACACTACCATTCCCAGGTGTTATGAATGTGTGAAGGCACCTTGTTGACATCCTGGAGGTAGAGCCAAGCGTTGAATGGCCTGATGGTCAGGTCCAGGTCTGACAGCTTCAGCTCGGCAACTCCTGCGCTGATGTTTCTCTCGTCAGCATCTATACCAAAAGCAGCAAAGCGCAGGCTGTACTCGTCCAGTGAGGAAATGTCCATCGGAATAGAAAATCGCTCATCAAAAATCACTGTAAACGCATTCGTCTGGACCTGTAGAAAGAGAGGAAACCAAAAGTACAACACATTCTTTATTTTGGATCAAATACATTAGCAGTTTTGAAATTAATTTTGTACTTGTGTATCTGTGCCTGATGTGTTAAGGAAATCTGATTAATTTCACAATAATCTTATTATTATTGTTGCAATAATAACTCAGCGTTTTGGTCGATATTTTTTATAACTTTTATTTACCTTTTTGTTCTATTTCATACACTTTATATTTACCTTTTGCCTCCGCTTGATTTGTTCTTGCAGCTGTAACATCCTCTCAGGGATCGATACAATATTTCTGACTGTGATTCTGAAATGGATTCATGTTCAATGCTCGTTCTTCTTAGTTTACCATCTAGATTAGTTTTCAACGTGTTTTATGAGTTTTACAGAAGATGAGGAAACAGTGGATGTTTTTGGAGTTTGATTCAGTTTGTCATGGTTGTGTGTGTCAGTCCTGACAAACTGTTTTGTCATAGGTTCATTTAGAAACAATGCTTAACAATGAAATTCACACAAGTCACAGTCCATGGAAATGCTGTGCCCCGTTTATGACTTACTGCAGTCCTAGATATCCAAACATATCCTTCAGTTCTGCTTCTGCTTTTCTCGTTCCTCAATTTTAGAAAAGAAACAGCAGCAGCACAATCTCTGCTGCGTAAAAGTGAAATCTATTGTGCATTGCCTTTTCTTTAACAGGATGGTTTTCAAAAGTGCAAAATGCAATTTCACACAAACACAGCATCAGTTCTTTTGTTCCTCTGTGAGGTCAATGGAACATGATTCATAAACAGGCCCTGAACGGCCGTCTGAGCCGTAAAAGAATTGTGAATTCAGAGCAGAGTCTTCATAAATCAGCCTCTGAGGCCAACCTTTGATTACTCCTCATATAAAATGGCTGAATAGCATCATAATCATATTCCTCCAGGATCCAGTATATGGCTGTGCTGCTGCTGCTGCTGCTGGAGTGGAAATACAACATGTTCCTAAAGATATAAAACACAAAAAAACAGCATGGTGGCGCCTTCGTAGCAGCCCCTCACACAGACCAATCCACAGTATGACACTGGCTGTCTGCACCGTTAGCCTTATCGCCTGGGGTGTAACTATAGTGATGTGTGAGGTGAATATAAGGTGGTAAAATCAAGCAGGAGAGACAGACAGAGAGAGAAAGAGGGAGGAAATGTGAATAAGGTAAAGAAGGAAGAGTGAAGACTGACATCACAGGCAGAAGAACAGTTTTAAAACATCGCTGTAGCAACTGAGGGAGAAAGGACGAGTGATTGACAGACGACGGGCTGAGGAAAAACAGTGAACAGCAGCAGATACCATGACAGAGAGAGAGAGGAAACACAGAAAGCCAAGAGAGGGGGAGAAAAAAAGGCTCGCGACCATCAGTGTAAGTGGCGCTGATGTAAGCATTTCCTTTGGACCTCAACATTAAGAAGAAGCCATTAAGTCCACAGCACCAGTAGCTGCTTCCACTCACATTCTTTTATAACAAGGAGCCTAAAGACATGGGTTTAACAACACACTCAGGTTAGAGGACGCTCGGCCGAATCTGTCTCAGTTCCTGTCATCCTGCACCAGCAGAGTGTCACAAAGACAAACAAGTGATTCACAGCCGGGCAGGAAGCGCTGGCAACGTAGAAACGAGTGGCAGAAGACGACTGGCAGCAGCAGCAGCAGCAGCAGCAGCAGCAGCAGGTGGAGGAGGGTGGAACTGTTCCTGTCCTCTCAGAACTGTTTTTTAATCAAATCTTTGAAGGCTCAGCCAAAGACCTTTTCGTTGTTGTTTCTTTATCAGAAAAATTACACGAAGCCAAGGGATTGGGTTGTAGAGACTAATTAAACCATTGTAGCAAAAAAGACCTATATTTGGGTCAAATAAATCTTTTTTTTTTTTGGGACACCAAAAGAGGACCTAATTACCAACAAGTAAATGTGTGTAGTTAGTTACACTTATATGAATTACTCACAAATATACTTGTGTCATGATAATCACAATCCTGTGTTCTGGGCGTTTTGTGATAACCCTGAGGATATTACTTAGAAAATAATAATGTAAATTACTACAAACACAAAGAATACATACTACACCATTTCTGAAAATACAATTAAACAATGAAATTATTAAATAAGAACTAAAAACTATTGTTGATTATTAAGTTTGATTCTAGTGAAAAAAAATAATGAATTAATATTACATTTTTACATATTTAAATTTTGTAAAAAATGTTCCTATCAGAATCAGTCGGTGTCAATCTGCAGCTCAAGGCCAGTTCAGGATCAAACCCTAATTAATTCCATGATTATCACTTTAACTGCAGGCGTTACATTTCAAAGTGAGTCACAGAAAGTTAATCACATCCACGTCTATCGATGTTAAAGGTTTTAAGATGCTTTACAACATGCAGCCCCCCCCACCCCCACCCCGAGGGTCCGAGTTCAGCACTCAACCAAATGAAATGAGCCCTTCTCTCAGACAGGTAACGATTGGACCACTGGGATGGAGCATTAATTGTGTATTCCTGCAGGAGGTGCCGCTGAGTATTCAGCTGTGAGGAGGAGAAAAACCACAGGTGGAACGACAAATCTTCAACACTCAGCTGACGTTCAGTCATCAAGGATTATTTTCTAATGTGAAATTCAACTGTCGTCACTCATGACTCTGGCCTTGACTTCAGTCTTGTCTTCAGTCTTGTCTTCAGTCTTGTCTTCAGTCTTGACTTCAGTCTTGTCTTCAGTTTTGTCTTCAGTCTTGTCTTCCTGCCAGGTTTATTTGGATTTAAATACTGTATATAGTCAATGGAAAATTGTTTCAAATTTGTCTTAATTTGAAACCATTACTACTAATAATTCATTTATTTCAGTCATTTGTATGCATTGGAAAGACTTTCACAATGCACAGAAGTATTATGACTACACAACATAGTACTTCTATGCTGTGTTTTCAACACAAGTACCCAGCTGAAAGAAGCAGCCAAGTACGTTTATAATTAGCCTCTGGATTTGTTAGTGAATGGACTCAGAGAATCAAATTCATTATTGATGTCCTAACCTCAGGATGGGATTTATCTGTGTTTTCTGTCATGGCTCTAAAATACTTTTTCCACAGCTTTGCCATGATGTGACAAAAATATAAAACACGCATGTCACCCAAACACTGACGTACAACCTGGACCTTTTTACTAAACATTATCTTTAAAACATGGACTGTGTGAAAAAAAAAACAGGGTTGAGAAGGTTGATGTTTTGTGCCACGAGTTAGGAGCTGATACATGTGGGAAAAAAGAGGTTAAAAAAAGAATCAACGACAAGAAAAGACTCTGCTGTGAGCACAACATAAATAAATGTAACCATGCTACTGTT